TACCATTGAGTTTTTACCTTTACTGGTTGCAACTCTGGTTTTCAACAGATTAATTTTCTATTCATTCTCTGGCATACATCACATAATATAAACTGAAACAGAATAGAATGGTATAGCAATACTTTATTATAAATTATTAGGGAAAATCAAAATTTTCTCTATTTACTCTAATACATAATAATATAAAATGTAAATTACCAACTCATGGACATTTTTTACCATTCCATGCCACATGAAATGCTCTTTTACCCTCCCAATGTCCTTGTTTTACCCATATGGACAGAAGTAGGATGGACATGGCAAGCTACTAATATTTTTCTTCTCTCATCATGATTTATGGTGAATCGCAGAAATAGTTCCTTTAAATAACAACATTGCATATAAGTATTAATTTATAATTGTTAGTGTTTAGGTATTCAAGAATGGCTAGTGGCAGTCATCATGGCTATGTATGAAAATGTCACAACAACAATCAAAACAAGAGATGGACAGAGTGATAGTTTTAAAGTAAAAGTTGGTGTGCATCAGGGTTCAGTGCGTAGTTCTTTGCTTTTTATTATTGTTTTGGAAGCTTTCTCTAAAGAATTCAGAGTTGGTTTACCATGGGAGTTATTCTATGCAAATAATTTGTGTCTGATAGCAGAAAACAGAAACAGAAGAGGAATTAGTATTAAGATTTGAAATTGGGAAAGATGGAATTGAAGCTAAAGGGCTTAAGATAAAACATGAATAAAACAAAAGTTATGCACTGTACAGTCAAGAATGAACAAGCAGAAAATACTGGGAAGTGGAGTGTCATGTGGAGTGTGTAGGTATGGAGTAAGAGCAAATTTTATTGTTTGTACAGTTTGTAGGCAATTGGTTCATAAGAGATGTAGTGGTATTCAAGATTCTCTTAAGATTGTTGGCTTTGAGTATAGAAAACCTATTCTTGATGAGTATAGAGAAGTTAAAAAAGAGGTTGAAATAAAAAGTGGAGGAAAGATAGAGTGTGTTATTAAATTTTTTTTATCTTGGTGATACAATTGGATTAGCTGGAAGAGCAGAAGAAGCATCTAGGGCAAGAGTAAGGTCTGCTTCAGAGTAAGTAAGAGTAAGGTATCTATCATTAAAAAAAAAAGGGGGGAGGGGCTACTAAGAATTAATTGAATGAAAAAGAAACTAAAACTACTATATTAAATGTATATATTCTTTTTATGACTTTTTCATATATTTTTGTTAACTTTGATTACAGATACTAACTTGAACAGAATAAACAAAAGCATTAAAAAAGAATAAATTAAAAAAAAAAAAATTCCAGCCCTAGCTGGTAATCCCCGCAAATTGTGTTTGTTTAGCCAGAACCGGGTTTGTGAAAAGCTCTATTTTGAGCCAGGGCTAAGGCCCCAGTCACTTACTACTTGGGCCAAGTTCAGAGAATTATATCCTCTTTTAACAGCAAGAGGTGCTTCATTAAAGATTAAAGGAAAGTTATACAGCATATACATCCAGAGTGTTATAATGTATGGCAGTGAAACATAGGCAATCAAGGTCAATGATGTTCAGCGTTTGGAAAGGATAGAAAGAATGATGATTAGATGGATGTGCAGTGTGACTCTAAAAGACAAGAAAAGCAGTGATGATTCAAGAAAAAGATTAGGCATAGTGAGTGTATCTGATAGCGTGTATCAGGAAAGATTAAGGTGGTTTGAGCATGTAGAGCGTAAGAATGCAGATGACTGGTTATCAGCATGTAAAAATTTAAAAGTTTCAGGAGAAAGAGGTAGATGTAGATACAGAAAAACTTGGAAAGAGTGTGTTTCAGATGATTTGAAAAAGCTAACGACTTTATAAGAAACATCCAACCCATACAAGGAGAGAAACAAGGACACTAAAATGATGATGATGATGTTTTTCCATAACTTATTTTATTATATTCAGTTATTAAAACTTTTTTCAGTTATATATGTCATCAATAAGCTATGGCAAAAAATACATACAAAAAATACAGACAAATATAAAAATCAATTAAAGTTGCAGAAATGAAAACAATTTACAATTTTATTTTTTTGACTTATATTGCTATGTTATATGTTGCATGTATATTAATTTGAATATCATTTCTTCATTTAAAACTTAGCTTGCAGAAATTTCAAATTTAGGCTAAATTTGATGATTTAGGCTAAATAATGAATAATATTAACTGCTATTTATTTTAGAATAAATAATTGTTATGAATAAATATTGATAAATCAAGAATTGATAAATATTGATTGATAAACCAATCAATATTTGCTTATTACCTTGTTCAAATCAAATTAAATATATTCTGAAATTAGTTATTAACATTTCAAGGATATTTACAATAGTACAAATAGTAGAATAAAGTAAATTCCTAACAAATACAATAACTTAGTTAAAAACATAAACATAGTTAAGCTATCAAACAGTTATACAAATAAAGTAAAAAATAGTTTACAAATACAACAATTCAATATAAACAACAATGAAAATAATAATAGTAATAATAATGTCATATTAATATAGTAATATTAATATGTCGTTTTGATTTGATGTTTATTTTTATTTTAATAATGACTATTAATATCATATTATATGATATTAATACTCATTATTAAAATAAAAATAAACATCAAATCAAAGTTAAAGCTAAAATATATCAATTATAAGTAATAATGATAGTAAAGTAGTTAAATATGTATTTACATAATATTACTATCACCTAAAAACATAATAATAACAAAATAATAATATTAATAATAATAATAGTGAGTGTGTATTTATATAAATATTGTTACCAATATTTATATATAAACGAGTTACCTTGTCTTTCTTTTTATACTTATATAGTAATTCCCCGCCTTCCGAAATCATAAACTTTAAGGCTTTTTTTCTAATTAATCTTTTTTCGCCTTCTTGACTTCTATCAGGGTATTGCTTTTTACTTAAATAAGTAAAAACATTTTGAACATTATCTCAAAATGATGTTTTTGGACTTGCATCTTCCTTGTCTACCGACGATATGTAAGTTAAGTTAGTGTATTTTACAAACAGAGTGCTCAATGTTTTTAAAGAACAGAGCAATAATAAATTAGAAAAAAAACTTATCTAAATATCTTCTATAATATGTTTCACCTTCATCAGGTTCATCAGGAAGAATGTCTAAATATCAAAAAATTCAAATTATAGAAAAAATATTTCACAGGAAGTTGGGAATGGTTATAATTAATTTTATAAAACCTGTAGTTATGTAGCAACCAGGAAGTTAGATTAGCTACATTCTTATTTCAATTAACAATAAAATAAATCAAAACTCTTCTAATGAAAATATTTTCTAACTCTTCTAAAAGTGTGTATGAAAATGCTCTTTTTAAAAATTTGAAAAAAAAATTGTCAAAAAAGCAAAATAGAAATAGAAGTATAATTTGGTTCAACCCTCCATACAGCAAAAATGTTTCAATAAATATTGGAAAAATATAAACAATAAATTTAGTGTATCCTTATCAAATACCATCTAGTATAAGTACAAATAAACAAATAATAATTAGAAAAATAAACAAAAGAAAAATAAATTGCTTAATGAATTAAAATGACTGCATCTGACTAAGAAGAACTACAAATTATTACCCATAATATTTTATTTTTTAAAATAGCTTAAACAAAAGTTTTTATACTGTAACTGAAATTTTGAAAAAAATTTAACAAAAAAAAAATGTTTACCTTTTTGTTGCTTTTCATGGAACCATTCAGGAAACAATAAATGAATTTAAAACAAGTCATTTTACAGTGAAGCAAGCTAAAGCTTTGCAGAATGTTAATGAAACCCTCAGTGAAAGCTTCTTAACTAACATCTGAAAGCTTCTTATCTGACAATGTTAACATTATGTATAAAAATGTGTTATATTAATAAAATTATTTTTTTCTCCATGTAATGCCATCCTAATGGCGCTTCACACTTTGTTAATTCTCCTGTGGTTAAAGATATGAATGGTGACATTTGTGATTCTACTAATTATCACCTCATTGCTCTAGTTACAATTTTCTCCAAGATTCTGAAACATATTTCTCATGTGTTAATGAAAATTTTATTGGGACTCCAAATTAATTTGGATTTAAGAAAAACCATAGCACTTAAATGCCTGTTCTTATTTTAAAAGATATTTTAGTCATGTTATTTAATGCCTCTTGTAGTCCAATTTATGGGTGTCAGTTATGGTATCTCTTATGAAAAGACTCATACATGTGTCACATATAATAATGCACTTAGCTTGATATTAAATAAGCCACCATGGAACAGTGCTAGTGAAGCATGGTGCCTGTTTGCTTAATGTTGTTATTTGTAAGCAACAATATTCATTCATTCATTGTTACTGCCCTAGAATAGTAAGAACCTCATCGTAAAGGCTTTCGTTAACTCTGATAGGTTCTTGAAGTCTCCATTGATGTTTAAATGGAGAGCTGAGTTAAATTTATTACACTATAAATTTTTTTTTTACTTTAGGTTTTGTTTATATTCAAGCGAGTTATTTTCTTATATATTTTTATTTTACTTATTGTATATTTATTATCTTGGGCCAATTGTATATTTATCACCTTGGGCATTATTGAAAAGCCTTGAGCCTGTTAATAAATTTTATTGATATATATATATATATATATATATATATATATATATATATATATATATATATATATATATATATATATATATATATATATATATATAAAATTATAAAATTTGTAATGTAAACCGCAATCCACGAATTAAGACGTCTCTTTTCAGACAACGGTCAAAAATATTACAAAAAAAATTTTGTTGTTGAAACTCTCAGTAAGGACTTCTCCATGGCTCTTTTTCTGTAAATGACGTCAAATTTTTGTTAAACCGTTTATAGCTAGACGTTACAAGAGCATCATATCAACGTTAAAATATGTCTCGCAGCGACATTTTATTATATATTGGGTAAAATAGATGTTTACAATAATTATGTTTCTTACAGCAAACAAGAAAGAAATCCCAGCAACTCATGTTGAAGAAAATCATCTAAAAGACGTTCTTAAAAGAGTCGATAGTCTAAGGCACCACGGTCAACTTGGATTTTGCGATGTTATACTTAGACTTGACGGACATGAATTCTCTGCTCACAAGATTATACTAGCTTCGTGTTCTGATTATTTCTATGCAATGTTTAACGGTAATATGAAAGAAAGTAAAGAAAAAATAATAGAAATTAATAGTGTCAGCTTAGATGTAATGAAATTAGTTCTGAACTTTATATATACTGGAAGTATACAATTAAGCAACGATAATGTTGAAGATGTTTTACAAGCAGCAAATTTAATGCTAATAAAGTCTTTGAAAGAAGTTTGCTGCAGATTCCTTGAAACTCTTTTAACTGTTAATAATTGTCTTGGAATGCAAAAATTTGCCGAGTCTTACGCATGTGAAAATCTCTTTAATATTACAACTAATTTTATTCATGAAAATTTTGGTTATGTAATGGATTGTGACGAATTTCTTCAGATGCAAGCCGCTCAATTAGAACCAATCCTTGCAAGTGATGAATTAAGAGTACTTAATGAAGAACATGTTTATGAAGCTTTGATAAGATGGATTAAATATGACATAAAAATCAGAAAACTTTATTTTTTAAATCTATTATCGTTAATTCGGTTACCTTTAGTATCACCCGATTACTTAGTTGATCGAGTTGAAACAGAACCTTTAATCAACGAGTTTCCCAAATGTAAAGAACTTTTGTTAGAAGCTCATCATTATATGTTACTTCCAAATCGAAAAATAGGCAGTTTAAATTCAAGAACGCGACCAAGAAAATATGAAAACGGTAATGAAATTTTAGTAGCATGCGGTGGAAATGGAGAGCCTTCATCAAATTCTACAGGTACAAATTCTACTTGGTTATACCAAGATTGTTATTGTTATTCTCTTTAAAACTTGTAATGTGTGTATGCCATCTTTTTAAAGTATAAATAAGTAAATTTAAAATACATTAAAACTAATTAAAATAATAATTACAATAACAACACTAGATATTTATATATATAGTTGCAATAAATAAAAATCATCAGCTGAGTATAGCCATCTATACTATAGATAAACTTTTTTCAGATACTTTTGTGTGGCATTTACGGTAAATAATAAGCTGTAGTGACTGCAATGAATAAAACTTGTCTAGCAGTTTTTTAAATTTATCAAATGATATTGCTTTGATATCATTATTTGACATAGCACTCCAGTCATTGACTACACGGTTGTTGAAAAATTAATGTCTAACTTTGCAGTCCTGATAATCTTGCGATGAAATATAATTCGATGTTCAGCTGGATGTTATACTGCAAAGTTTTACGTGCTAGTCAATTAAGTGTAAATTATTGAATAGCTTATATTGTTGTATAAGATTGCCTCTTTTCTGTCTGTTTTAAGAGCAGTTAAACTCTTCAAAATTTTTTTTGTTCGGTTTTGTAGTTTTTATTTTTTAAAGCTTGAGAAACTTTCGTGGCAATGTGATGATTTTTTCAATTTTTTTTACGTCACCAACAAGGTAAGGGTTTTAAACTTGTATGGCAAAATACATAAATAATATATACATAATAATATAAATAATATGTAAAGTTTTTCCAAATGCCAGTGTCTCTTGATAAAAACGTGTATTTAAAAATTTCGAGCATGGAATTCGCTTTGTTTGTTATTGAAAACAAGCAATTTTTTGCACTGCTAAACATATTTAAGATTTTCAGAGATTAGAATTCTAATATCATTAGGAATTTTTGATTTCTAAAAACTACTTCGTTAACCATGTCGTCGTCTTTGATTTTCTCCGTAAATAATCAAATTTTATTTTCTAGAGTTAACATGCACAAAAAAAAAAAAAAAATTATCATGCAAGTTTACATATTTTTACATTTAACTTTATTGATTAGGTTTGCGTCTATTTAACAATCTTGTCTAGATCGGATGGTAAGCTTGCTCATCTGCGTACATTTGAAAATGGTTGATTTGACACAATTGGCAGTTAAAGTTAAACTGCAATAAAAAAAAGTTTAACCAAATGACCTTTCTGAAACTGCCTCTTTTAGCAATAAGACATTTTTTGCACAGAGCCTTTACTGAATGGAACCAACTTTATGGTTCTAGGTTAACAAATGTTTTTGCAGTTATTAATATATATTCAAACATTTTATTCGTTAGTTAATCGACATACAATATTAATAAAGCACCAATAGTATACTCAGACATTAAGCTAAAAAATACTTATTGTAATATTGATTAAGGATGCAAAACAACAGTCATATGGTTTTGTCATCCATCAATCAATTTTAGAATTTTGATGCACTACATCATTTCACGAAGATTATTTTGTGTGGTTATTACAAGGATAAATATATAGTTATATAAAATATAATTATATAAAACGTTTTACTGAATAATTTTACTCTATAATAAATAATAAAAAAAGTTAAACATTACAATAACTTCAAGCAAAATAGTTTGTATTTATATATAATTTAAAAATTGTTTACGTATATTTCACTAATAAATTAGTAAAAATCAGAAGGTAAGGGTCTAAGTAAGCATAAAGAGCTAAAGTGTTAAAAGAAAATATAAGAAGAAAGGTTGTAACGATTAAGTGAGTGACACAGTATAATAAAGCTTCAGATGAACACGAGTGTGTGTATATCTTGCTTATTTTTAGAATGTATAAAGAGGACTTGGTACACGAACTTTTCTTAATATTATGTTTAAGTACTTAAACCCAACGTTACATTAAACCAAACGTTATATTAACTCTTCTAACTAGCAAGAAGAAAAGAAATAATAAAAACTATAAAGTATGTATATAACAAAAAAGTAATGCAAATATAACGGTACTTAATTACTGTGAAAATCATTTTAAAATCACATAGACAATGAGTTTAATTTATATCTTTATTTTCTGTAATTTTAGTGATTAAATTTAAGATTATTAATTCAACTTTTAAAAACGATCTCTTTCCATTATAATAAATTATAATTTAACATATATTTGTTTTAAAACTTTCCACTCTAAAGGAAATAACAAAAGTAAGAACAATACATAAACAAGTATATAAATGTTATACTAATTTTTAACAAACTTGAAATAAACTCATAAATTGTAAAAACTTTTTTTTATAATTTTAAATATTGTATTTTAGTATTTACTTACCACATGGTTAAAAACTATTGGAATGAACTTCCCAGAATGGTACCCGAGCGTGGTTATCATGGGCTAGCCACAATTAACGGAGAGATGTTTGTTGTTGGTGGTATAACAACTACACGCACTGAAGGAAGAGAAAGTACAATTGAAATGTTGGATACAGGTGCAATTTTTTTTTATCTTTATATTTATATTATTTTGTTTTTAGAATATTTTTTAAACTTTACTTTATAAATATTTTAAGTAAAAAAATATGATATGGAGCAAGCCATATGGGTGAGCGTAGCATCATTGCATGCAAGACGAAGCAAAATGTCAGTTATTGAATGTGCCGGTAATATCTACGCTATTGGTGGTTTCGATGGAGCTCAAACTCTAAATTCTGTAGAATGCTACTGTCCAATTACTGATAGGTAAAACAAAAATAGACTCAAAGTTTATAAAAGCATAACTAAAGTTGAATAAAAATTGTTAAAGATAAAGGTAAAGTAAGCGTTTAATAAAATTAAAACATTTTTTAAAGATGGAAGTTTGTATCTCCAATGATCACTCATCGTCGTTGTACATGTGCAGTTTCTTGCGGAAACTTTATATTTGTGGTAGGCGGTCACGACGGCGCTCAAATACTTAATACCATAGAAACTTATGATGTTGAGAGGTAAATTATTTTTATAAAAGGCGTTAATTTTTAGCCTAATAAATGTTGCTATACTAATAAATGTTCAACTAAATGAAGTGGAGAAAAAAAGGGCGTCATCAATTTTTTATAGTATTAGTGTGATACTTTGCTTCAACTTCATTTCTTCTGCATCATTTTTAACTTAAATAAAGTTGTTTACTCAAATACTAAATTTAAATCAACACAAATCATTATCTTATTATTTTTGGTGAGCCAAAATAATTTGTTACCAACAAATAATTTTTATTCATTTAAGGAGTAAAGCGGCGACAACCCATATGATGCGTTACAGCTACTTACACCTTAAATGAATAACAGTAGATATTTAAATGTTTTTTTTTAGAGACGTTTGGTCAAACACTGAGATCGCACCAATGACTGATCGCCGATCATTTCCTTGTGCAGTTAATATAAACGATGAGATATATGTAATGGGAGGTTATGATGGACACGATACACTGCGATCGTGTGAGTTTTTTAGTATCTCAGGTAATGAATGGGTCAGTATTGAACCAATGAGCGTTGCAAGATCTAACGCAGGAGCAATTTTTATGAATCGCAAAATTTATGTAGTTGGTGGATGGGATGGCGTCAGTCTCAACTCAGTTGAATACTATGACTTAGTAACTCATGAGTGGGTCCGTATCTCTAGTTTACCTAGACCAGCAACAGGTATAAGATGTGGCATACTAATCAACCCGACGCTGAATGAACAAAAACCCAGACAAAAAAGTAACAAGGCGAATTCCTGTTTGATATCATAATGAATTTCTTATTTTTTTTATATATATATAAAACTATATATACATTATACAAATCACTTTGTAAAAAACATTTTATTAAGGAACAAGATTTTGCTATTACTACGCGTAATATTCTTACGAATACAAAAGACTTTATCACTTTATCTCGAAACCAAGTTAATAATTACACATACATAGCATTTTTATAATTGTGACTTACCCACCACAATTTGAAATTTAGTTTCATTAAAATCTTTGCTTGATTATGTACTGGTGATCATACTTGTTACATAAAAACTTTAGAAATTAAAAATAAAATAAACAAAAAACAAACAAAAACAACAAACAAACAAGAAAAATGCAATACTAAATCTTTTTTCTAAAAATTGGTTTAAATAAATAATTTAAAGTTAAACTCTATAAATAACTTATTAATAAACTGCAACAAAATTCTCTTTTAACAATTTTAACGAAAAATAATAATCTAATAAATAATTTAAGCTTATATTGTAAAAAAACGAAATATCGCAATAGTAAAAATTATAAGTTAAAGAATTTTTGGTGATTTTGAAACATAAAATTTCAAAATCGAGGAAAATAACAAGGTAATTCGAAAAAGAATAAGAGAAGTAAATAATAAAATTTTGAAAAATAAGTAGCAGCGTTGTTTCTATCTCGATCTTAAGATCGTCACTGCTAACTCGTAGTCTTTGTCAAAGCCTTTGTCAAAACCTTTGTATAATTAAAAAAATATACAATCAAATAATATCATATAAAGCAACCAGTTTTCGGCATTAAAATATATTAAACAAAAACAGATCTTAAATCTGATACTATAATATCAATATCGTTCTCTGAAGTATCCCTCCCCAAGCTTAATCTAATAGCACGCTTTGCAATTTCTTCAGTTATGCCGTGGGCCAGCAAAGAAGCCGACACGCTTTCTCCGTTTTCAGAATGACAAGCGGCACCAACGCTTGCTAGCAAAAACTTGCATCGATTTAAAACTTCTCTTCCGTTCAATGAATAGCTTGTTATCGATATGTTTAATGTATTAGATAGAGTTGCGCACGGCATCTCGTTATAACTGATGCATGAGGAAAAGGCTTTATCTAACTGAAACTTTAGATAGCCTTTCATCTAAAATATAAAAATATGTTACTAATTATAAAACCAAAGAGGTATAATAGATTAGCTAGAGGGAGAACGAAACTGAAGATGGTTTGAAATCATAGTACAGCCTTTTTAGTATAATTGAACGCGTCATTTCGAAAAGGACACATTTCAATCAAAACTTTTCAGGATCAAAAAATATGATTTTTTTAAAAAAATAAGTACAAGATGCTTATGAAACTGAATATTGGAGTAGATAAATAAAAAACAAATATATTGCTTATGAAACTGAATATTGGAGTGGATAAATAAAATACAAATAATTTTTGTGAACTTTTGTTTTAAATCTTATTTTTTATAAAAATGTATTTATCATATAGATATTTTTAATTTAAACTTTTGGACTAAAGGCTTTTTTAAAATGAATTTTTTTTGTACACACAAATCCAAAAATTATGAAAATATTGTTAAATAATCCTCTTTTATTTCTTGGCATTTTTGTTTTTCAAAGTTGTTGGCTATATAAAAAATATAATATATAAAAGTTGTTGGCCATATAAAAAATATAATATATAAAAAACTCTATAACTATATAAAAAATTTAATACTCAACAAAAATATTTCTTATTAAAAAAAAACCATAGGATGTTTTGAAACTAAACATAAGAGTAGATGAATTAAAAATCATATATATTTTTTTGGAACTTTAATTATTGCAGATATTTTTAATTTGAGCTTTTGGATTAACGCCTTTTTTTGAAAAAAATTATTTTTTGTACATATAAATCTGAAGATAAAAAAAAAAAAAAATTAGAAAAACTGTTCTTTTATTTCTTGGTATTATTTGTCGAAGTTTTTGGACATTTCTGTAAAGAAGTTTTTATACTTATTGGGGCTTTTTATATATATTGGGACTTTGCCAGCATATGCAGGAGTATTACTTGATGGTAAGGGTGGTTTGGTACCCATCCTTTGTAAAAACAGAAATCATGAAAATGCGTGAATCAATAGTCACACTTTGTTACAAGACCAGCTGCGGTGTTAGAGAATATATAAGGTGACACTTTCAAAATACAAAACTTTTTTATCCTAGGTATTTTCTTTGACATATCAATCCACAGATAGCACAAGTTTCTTATAATGGTTCAACCATTGTTTCTTCACTTTTCAGTTCTTAATTCAAAATTATTGTTAGCCTCAGCTATAAGATTTTTAATACATTTTATACTAGGTTGGTGTGTAAATTCTGTCATTTTTTCCAATATGCGTTGTTGTCCCAAACATACTATTATTTGGCAGTAATAAATTACCTCTTTTGGGTATGTAATAATAAATTCAATTTATATTTATTTTTAGTTTAGCTACCAGTAGTAAAAGACTTTCGACCGGGGTATAATTTTGATTGTGTCTACACAACCATCTAAAAATAGGTGAAATTCTTTGGAATTGTTGCCAATATTTTTTAATAGAATCCAGCACAAAAGTACATACCTCATTGGGACCTTTGTTTGAAACTTCTTCACAATAAGAATAAAATGCTGATTTATCAGTTTTTAGATTATATATGCAAAACTCATATAGCCATAGTTGACTTAGATAAAAAAATCTCCTTGACATATATTGGAAGTATCTTCCAACATATGTCAAGGAGAAATTTTCCATTTCCACGTATCTCCTTAGGATCTGTGGAAGTAGCAAATTTTGCGTAAAACCAAATGCAACCTCATACACACTTGAATCATTCTTGCACTTAGATTTAAGTTCCTGTCATTTTTTTGGAAGATTCAATGGTTTGACTTTTGTTGATCTCAATATCTGCTTTATACACCCTTTTTGAATTGCCATTGTTGTGTGGATTTTTTAGTTTAATATTTAACTCTTCACACAGTTCACAGATATTAACTTACTTTCTATTAAATAATAAGCTAAAATTTTTGTGGAAATATGTGTGTGTATATATATATATATATATATATATATATATATATATATATATATATATATATATACACATATATATATATATATATATATATATATATATATATATATATATATATATATATATATATATATATATATATATATTTAATCTAACACTATATATATTAATACTGATCTATTTTTTGTAAACAATTTAGATTATATTGATCACTTTAAATGAATAAGAGATTTTGTAACTTAACTTGATACAATAAAACAAATATATATATATATATATATATATATATATATATATATATATATATATATATATATATATATATATATATATATATATATAATATTTAACAGGACAATCTGAATAATTTTGTTTGTATGTGTACATAATTTTCACATTTAGTTTTTAATTTAAATAATAAGATGATGTGTTTTATAGTAGTGCATATATTTAGCAGGAAATTAACCAATAGGCTTCATGTACTTTACATGGAGACTATTGTAAATGTCACCAGTAAAAAATCTCATTTCACAAATAATTTATTTATAAAATAATTTTTTGTGACATTGAATTATTCTTTTAAATAAACGTTTTAATTCTTTCGTTTTAACTACTTTCTGCAGTTAAAAAGTTTATAACATAATGGTATGGCAGCAGCTGTTGTTCTGTATAACATGCAGTTATGTTATAAACTATATGTTTTAATACTATATTTTATGACAATATAACTTTATATATGTTATAAGCCAAATCCAGCAGACATTGTTAGGCATTCTATAAAATATCAAGACAACATTAAAGTAAATGTAAAAATTGTTTGAAAACAATTTAAATGTTCAATAACAAAGAAAAGAATGTTTATTTAATTTTGTTGATTATGTTTATTATTTGGCTGTACTACACATTTTAGAATCTTTTGCGTTACAGATTATACTATTTTAATGCAAACTTTGCAATAGTTGGACACTATTGCTTTCAACTATGATGCAATTGGCAAAATTTAAACTATTATAATTAGGCGGTTTTTTTTAATTCATTTTATTGTTACTACAAAGAGCATAGAAAAATAAGATTTACTTGGTTTTCCGCAACTAGAATATAGTAATACTATTTTACTATTACTATACTTTACCTTTTTGATAAAGCAAGGAAAAAAGTGTGATGAGCTGCGATTTGCAATAAATCATTGTAAAAATATATATCTAAATAATTTAATATAAATTAAAGTTAATGTTATTGACAAATATAATAGCGCATAGCTGATGTTCAAAACTTGCAAAATAAAATCATAAACTTTTTATAAATAGATTTGATTATTGAAATGTTAAACATCTTAATATATATAAGCAATCCAGTAAGATGTCAAACAATCAAACTTTATGAAAATAAAAACTTTATGAAAAATGTCTACAGGTTCTTGCTTAATCAAGTTTCTACAACAAGTTTGCACTTAAGTGGGTTTCCGCTGGTTTTGCATATGATTGCAGTAAACACCACAAAATCAACTGTACATTTTTCATATGTTTCAGAAATGTTTGTACATAACAACAGTCTATATAACATGCTCACTACATAAACAAACAGATTAGAAACAACAATAACAAAGATTAGAAACTTTTTAAAACGTTTTAATGAACATTACTTACTATCCACTGTTGCGACATAATCTGGAACAGTATAATAAAAATTAATGAATATTTTAATAAAAGAAAATTAATATTTTTTATTACAAAGGAACCTGTTATATTAAAGTTAATGACCATCGTATGCTCTTTTTTTAATGTACAAATTATGTACATTATTATGAAATTATGTACATATAGATATATATTAGATTGGTTTAAAAAATTTGTTTTTTCCTAAAGCGCACATTGAAACCTACGATTTTTATACATCTACTAAAATAAAAATTTGGTAAAAATTGTAAATAGTAAACTATGCTAGATCAAAAATAACTTAAAAATAATAAAAAATTTTATTCAATTACATATTGAAGAAAGTTCTAAAACAGATAAATACTTATCTAGTATCTTGAAAACTTGATTAAAGCACATTTTAATATCAAATTTGTGTAACGTTTACTAAAATTCTGGCCCGTAAAGTCTTTGTTGTTTACAAAATGAACACTTACGTCATTACTCTCGAGTCCTTAATAAAAAAAAAAAAAGGGTGGCGGGGGGAGAAAATTTTATTAACTTTTTGAAAATTTTCCCACCCAACCCAACCCAACCCATTAAGGTTCCGATCCCCTTTATCAATTTATCAATTTTTTCAATTATCAGTTTATCAATTTTTACTTGTTATCAACAACAACAACAAAAAAATCAGTGAAAATTGGCTTTAAAAATTAGAAAATAATTACTTCAGTCACTGATAAAAACAAAAACTATCAGTGTTAACAGGCTTTAAAAATCGCCCACCAAGTAAATCTCGACTCGTCGAACTTGAGCTTTTGGTTCATTTCTTGCCAAAGTTTAAAACTTATATCAGCATATTAAATCCTATTGAAATTGTTATTAAGAAAAAGCCGTTAGAAAATGCGCATTTGACCGCAAGCCATTTTTGAATTAAATAATTTTATGCATGTTTTGTAAAGAGTATATGTTTGGATTTATAAACTTAAATTTTTATGAAAATACTTTTAACAACATAAAAAAAAAACTCCCCCCCTCCTTTTATTAACCTTATTAAACCTGGACTGAAATTCCCCCCTCCCCTTTTAATCCCAGCCCCCCTTGTATTAAGGACTCGAGAGTCCTTAATACAAGGGGAGATGTTACATTACAATTCTGATTTGGTTAATATTTTTGTTTAAGTAAAACAAATCTTCTGTAAATGCAACTGGGGGTGGGGGGTGGGGGGGAAGTCGTCTATAAAGTACGCCACCTTACATTTGTCAATTTTTATCCCCTTCCTTCCTGTGCAGATATGTTTGATCAAACGATCAAACATATCTGCACCCCATCTCCCTCCTAATTAGGGCATAACAGATCTGGCAATTATAATTAGGATACGGATTCAGATCTGGATCTAATTTTAACTTATCATTTAAACTACTCCTAAGTTATAGTTACAAGCAATCTGCATGCAGTAAAAACTTTTTCACTCTCAATAGATGTTTTTAGTTTGAAATAAAGTCTCCAAATTAGAAAAACGTTTTTTTGTTTTGTTGACTTCAAGAGCAAAAATTCTTGAGAGATTTTATACTGAGATCTTCATTATTGTAGTGGATTATTGTGATGTAGTGGATTTTAGTTGATGAAGTCGGCTGATTAGTGGCCGAATTTATTCATAACAGATGCACCATATGTAGTTGTACTAACAATATCATTATTAAGTTTGAATTCACTTAACTTTTTTACTCAATTATTATTGTAATTTACTCATTATCTTTGTCAATTATCATGTATATTATCATCTCAACAGCTTTTTCAGAAGGCATGCTCTCGACAACATATACAAGTCCAAGATTATAAAAGCTTTCATTTAAGTAGTTATGTTAACTTTGACCTTGAAATGCTACCAAACTGAAGCACTGCTTTTAATTTCTTGGAAAGTTATTTCAAGATTATTTTTTATAAATTGCTTGGAAATAATATAATGCTTCAAAGTGCAACAGTTTAAAACTAGGAGTAAGCTTTAATAGAACACAACCTTAACTTTACAAAAAGTAATTTTATGTAAAAAAAATATGGCAATGAAAACCTGAACCAAATAAATGCGGATACAGATCTCAAAAAAATGGTATGGGTACCAGTGTATTTGGTTCCAGATCTTAGATCTAATGCTCTACTCCTAATGTGATAGCAGTTTTTACATCAATAATATTTTAAAAAGATTTAAATGTAAATACTTTTTAATGTAATTTAATGAAAATAAGGTAATATGCAAAACATAAGGAGTGCAAGTAAAATTTTCGACAAACTATTAAATTTTCTTAATTAAACACTTAATAATTAATATATTTATTATTAATAAGTATTAACAAAGTTGTTATACTAAAGTAATTTTTTAAAGTTGCTCTTGGTCTTGCGTAAAAAACTGTTATCGATTTGATAACTTTCATAAATGTTACAAAAAATCACTCAGGAATAGAGCCAGTTTTTTAAAATTGCCTTGGTTAATTAATTTTAATGAGTTCAATACTTTTGCAATTCTTTTGTTATGTAACTTTAAAAATCTAACTCTTAATAGAAACCCACAATAACAATCGCTCGGTAACATAAGGGATGTAACATAAGTTAAATAAATAGTATCAAAATAACAAGTTTATTTTCCTTGGTCACCTCTAAATGGTCTTTCCTTGGTCACCTTTAATGAATTTTTATTTAATTGGTATAGAATTCTCAACATCTTGTGAAAACATCCAATACAATCCGCTTTACTGATTCTCAGAAATTTGACCTAAAAGTTAAAACAATGTTTTTACCTTGTTTTGTAATGTAAGTTAAGTGGCATTTTTTAGTAATAAGTTCCCTCTCTTTTGGCTAGACTCAAAACTTTTTAGCTTACTTTGTTCAACAGCTTTCATCGAAAATAGCTGAAAATTTATTTTATAGTTTAAATAAAGTTGTTATGCATGTAATATAAGTTATATATATATAGCTATATACATATATATATATATATATATATATATATATATATATATATATATATATATATATATATATATATATATATATATATATATATATATATATATATATATATATATACATATATATATATATATATATATATATATATATTTATATATATATATATATATATATATATATATATATATATATATATATATATATATATATATATATATATATATATATATATATATATATATATATATATATATGTATATATAACAAAGTTGCATTTTTAAAAGCATGTGTCTTTCCAATTACCAGTGCAGGGTAAATAACATTGCATATTAAGTCACTCTATTCACCAGGCGATTCTATGGGGATGAAAAAGTAGATTTTGGATTTACTGAAACTTTAGTATTAAAAAGTATAAAAACAATACTAAACTGTTGAAAGAAGTATGAAAGTTAAATATAAGTTGGAATAAACCTGTCAGTCAAATAGAAAATCGCAAAATATTGTAGATCTAAAACTTTCTTGGTTGTGGTACCAACAAAAATAAACTTGTATTTTAAATTTAGAACTAAAAAAGAATCAAGGTATATACTCTTTAGTGAAACAACTAATGAATTAATTAAATTAATTAAAAAAATTCATTAGTGATAAAACTAATAAAAAAACCGCACAAAATTATAGAACTACCATATGTTACAGAAGTTAAAATTTTTTTAGGAGATTACAGTCCAGTCCAATGTACCTAGGTTTAATCTGTGTTGGTCAGATAAAGAAATAATGTCAAAGAGAAGTTAAAATCAAGAATTCAACTCTAAACACACTGTTCCAACAGTCAACCATATAGTATGGAGCTGTTTCACAAAGAAAGTAAATTAAAACTAAGGACAAACTTTACAATCATACATAACAACGATCCATAACAGACAATGACATCAGTAATTGGCAAGAAGTTGGTTAAGTAATGCTATCTAAGCATTGTTATAGCTATCCTTATTTTCAGATTTAAATGATTTGAACATTTATGGAACGTATTAAAAACAGAGTGAAAATTTGTAAACTATTTGTAAATTGATGCCAAATTAATGTCTGTAATTAACTTTAGATATTATTACTAAAAAGTAATAATATCTAAAGTTAAATATCTATTACTATTTTATAGTAATTATATTTTTCCTTTACTTTATCAAAAAAAAAAAAAAGTTAATTTATGCAAATGAACAAATTAAATACCTTTTTAAAATGAGCCTCATATACATTTAGGTTTTCGCTAACCAACCTAGCTGCTTCTCCAAGTCCAGCAATCATACATACATTCTCTGTCCCAGGTCTTTTTCCTTTCTCTTGCCCCCCACCATACAACATAGGATTTAATGGACACAAAGAGTGAACCCATAATGCACCTGACAGTAAATAATACACACTCTAACATTGTTACTACTTTAAATATATATATATATATATATATATATATATATATATATATATATATATATATATATATATATATATATATATATATATATATATATATATATATATATATATATACAGGGGTCGAAATAAGTGCCGGACATTGCTGCCCCCCAGACCATTTTTGAGACTTGCTATATGAGGGCAACCATTTTTACTGCAAAAATGAACAATGGTTTGTTGCCCTCATCTAGCAGGTCTCAAAAATGGTCTGAGGGGCGGCCATGTCCGGCATTTATTTCGACCCCTGTATATATATATATATATATATATATATATATATATATATATATATATATATATATATATATATATATATATATATTAGAGTAATTTGTATTGTAATAGAAAAATATTTGTCACAAGAAACATTCTCCTTAAGGTTGCCTGTGTTCCTTTATCACCTTGGATCATGTATACCAAAAATTAGACTAATAGAAGCAATTTTAAGGGTTGCCATGTTTTATAAAATAAATGAACCAAATGTTAGTAAATAAATTGCAAGAATAATAATATAATAGAAATATCAGATAATATGAACTATATACTTCTAAACTAGTAGGCATAATCTAGACTTTACAAAAAATATTACATAAAATTATACATATTAAAATGGAAACTAAAATGTATTATATAAAAATATTACATAAAATTATACATATTAAAATGGAAACTAAAATGGAAATGAGACATCAAAGCTGAATTGATGGAAAAAAAAAACTGGTTGTCAACAAAAAGTGGATAGAATTGCCATCCCTGTGACTGGTGGTGGGATGGAAAAATTGCTGGGTATTCCAAAGATTGGTCAAGGTACGGATGAGCAACTGGATGATGCTTGCATGAAGGCTTTTGAAGATTAAAAATCAAATGAACATGGTTGGGGACTGGCTTTTGACACTACTTCATCCAACACCGGGTTAAACATGGGTGCCTGCACAATAATGGAGCAGAATCTTAACCATAACCTTATATGTATAACATGAAAGTACCATGTGTTAGAAGTCATGCTTTCCAACATTTTTACAATTGCATTTGAAACCAGTGGAGAACCTAAAGTAGGACTTTTTTTTTTATTCACCTGTACAAGGCCAAGTAGACCACTATAGACAAGAAGGCTACTTAATTGTGGTTATAACCCTCTCTAAACTCTATAACTCTGAAACATAAACCTTGAAGAACAACGCCGCTGCGCAGGAAAACAAGTTGAGCACGGTACTACCAGAGACATGGTGGGGATCGAACTCGGAACCTCTCGCTTATGAAGCGAGCCCTCTACAACTACACCACTACCATGTTATAATCGTTACTTTATAATCATTTTCAGAAACAATGGCCAGCAACTACAACATTGGGGTTTAATGTAAAATTTCGAGCTCCAGGTGCAACACACAATGCACATTGGAAGGTCAAAGCTATATATTGTCTAAAAATATATTTGTTTCAGGATTAATTTCTTACTACTGCAAAGGAAAAAAAAGTAATAACAGACCTAAGTTTTTCTGTGGCATTTACATTACAAAAAATACTGTACTAAATATTTATTTAGCAGTGTGGCTTTTAAACAATATACATTGACAGTCCACATAATATTAACTAAATAAAAATAAATATAAAATAATATATATATATATTTTTTCACCTTACACCAAAAATGTGATAAAACATGGCAACCCCTAAATGTTATCCGATTTGCTTCAAATTTTTCCCAATAGTTACTATTGTCATATAGAACAAGGGCAAGCTTGAGGACAACCAAAGTCTTGAACCTTTTGCATTTTGCAACCTTTTGAAAATTTTGCATTACCCTAATATATATATATATATATATATATATATATATATATATATATATATATATATATATATATATTTATATATATATATATATATATATATATATATATATATATATATATTTATATATATATATATATATATATATATATATATATATATATATATATATATATATATATATATATATATATATATATATATATATATATATATATATACTTAAAAAGTCAATTATTAGCAGTAACTTTCTTTTAAACAAATCAATAACTATTAACCTATTTTAGGCCCATAAAACTTATGTCCAACCACAGTTAAATAATCAACACCTAATTCCTGTACATCCACTTTGATTTTTCCAATAGCCTGAGCTGCATCTGTGTGTACAAATACACTTAGATTAGATTTTCCTACCCTTTGCTCGTTTATTTTCTTGATTCCAGAACTAATTTCTTTAATTGGCTAAAGAAAATTAATAGATTGACTAAGAAAAAGAATACACGGCCCAAATAAAATACTCAAGAAAAACAACAATAAGAAAAAAAAACCTGTATTGCTCCTGTTTCATTATGAGCCATCATAATAGTAACAAGAACAGTGTTATCTTGAACATTGCTGAAAATTTCATCTGGATCAACATGACCAAGATGTTTACACACACCAACTAAAGTTAAATCAAGACATCCTTCTTTTTCCAGTTGTAAAAGGGGCTTTATTATTGAATCATGTTCAATAACACTGCTAATTACATGAGGTTTTCTATCAGTGTTTTCATTAAAACATTCTTTAAAATACTTTATTGTACTGTGAATGACATGGTTATTAGCCTCTGTTCCACCTGACATAAAGAAAATTTCATTAGAACTTAATGAATTAAGCATTTTTCTCAAATTTTCTCTAGCTTTGGAGATAATTAATTTTGCTTGGACACCAGCAGAATGAGAACTACTTGGGTTGCCCCAAGCTGTAAACAATGACTGTTGAATTTCTTTAGCAACTGTTGGAGCTAATGGAGTTGTTGCATTGTAGTCCATATAAACTTTTGCTTGCATATCATTACCATTTTGCAAAGAATTTGGTTGCTCATTACAAACGTTGCTTACCATTTATATACTTGAATTAAATAATACAAAAAATTTTTAATTCAAATAACAAAATTCAAAAAGAAGTTTTTTTCATTACAACATCGGATGTAATGAACACAAAAAGTGAAGTCATATAACAAATAATACAAATGTACCTTATAACAAATAATATAAACTCTCACATTATATATATATATATATATATATATATATATATATATATATATATATATATATATATATATATATATATATATAATACTGCGTTATTATTTTAAATTAATCATATTATTTTTAATTTCTAAAAGACTAATCTAATCTAAAGTTATATCAATTTACTTATATAATAGTTAAAGTTCTTCTTTTAATGAGCTGCTCTTCCATCAGTGCTTCTTCTTCCCTGTAGCCATGTCTTCAAATATAATCCTTATAAAAATTTAATTTAATGAGTAAAATTGTTTTTATCTATTCTTTTTTCCCCATGTCTCTTTTTTAGATATTTTTAGAATATTAAGTGAAATGCTTTATCAAATTGTCAATGACTACAATGAAATTTTTAAACTGCTAAACTTGTCTGACAATCTCTAGGAGTTTAATCCAAGTAAATGGAGACTTTTAAACACCAAAAAAATCAAGAGCTAATTCTTTAAAAAAAAGTTTGAGAACTTCTTTGAGTTTGATTCGAGCGAATTGAAACTTTTGAATAAAAAGAAGAGTTAAAAATTTAAAACTTGTTGCTTGGCAGAACAGAGAATGGTGGAGCATGTTCTTATGCAGTAATTCAACAGTAGTACTTAAAATGAAGAACAGAAATAACATGCATTGCAGATCGTTGAAGATCATTAGATCGATAATTTTGTTTCCAACAAAAGTTGCAGCTATTACAGGATCAAAACAAACATGAATAAATAACTCAACTTGATTTCAACTAAAAATAATGATGTAACATATATTTTAATTCAGATATATTAATTCAAAATTTGTTTAAGTTTTGACTATTACAACAAATGCTCAAAACATCAAACTCCAAACAGCTTGCGCACAAACAGAATATTACTATTTAAACAATTTTTTTTAAATTACTTTACATCAACTTTCATGACTAGTAGAACATAATGATAGTTCATTATATATATGTATATAAATAGTCCATAAATATACGTATATAAATAGAAGTTAGAGAACATTTTTCTAGCATTTTCATTTTTTTTTTTTTAAATATCCTAGTGGTGGTGGTAAAACTTTTGATGGTGTTGATGACAAAGTTGTTGATAGTGTAGTTGTTGAATGTGTTATTTTTGGTATTTGTGGTAAACTTGTTGGTATTTGTGAGTTAATAGTATTGCTGTTGTGTAAAATGTGATGTTATTGTCATTGCTGTTATCATTGTAGCTCTTTTTTAAGTTTTTTAAATAGTGGGGATTATTTTTTTTACCTGGAACTCAGTTTTAATTCTTTATTAGCTAAAATATCAACAACATTTGCATTCATCCATGAACAAAAAGAATATAATGTACACACACAAAATAACACTTTATAAAAAACACTTTTGTGAAATAATTTTTCGATTAATTTCGTCAAGAATAAGAGAGAAAATTTCTTTTTTCTCTTCTGAAATGTAGTTCTCTTTTTCTTGTTTGCGCTCTGACTTTTCATTATCTTTGATATCGAAACTGTCATTATTTTTTTGTTTCCTTATTATCGATGACATAAGTGATGGTGGAGACAGAAGGCATCTTGCTTTTTTTGGCAAAGCCATATTTAAACTACCACAGTTTGATAATTTTTCCTAATTTGCATGTATAAAAAAATAACAATATCAAAAAGGATTAAAACCTTATATCAAATTAAAGTAAAAAATGAAAGATAAAAGATCAAAACTTAAATATTAAAAAAATTAAGAAATAATAATGGAAAAAAGACTTATTTAGAAAATATAAAATTTAGTATCTAAATATAAAATTTAGTATCAACATATATTTAAAATAAAATCATTATGAAAAATTACCAATGCACTTTCATATATTTCTCTATTATCATTGTAGTCAACAGCAATTTTTTTTTTTTGACGAGGACGAGTATCCCGCGAGCCTTTAGGACGACCTCGCTTCTTAACCTGAAATTTGTTTAAAGTTTATTATTTAATTTTCATAAAAAGTTAATTATTAAAAATTAAGCACAAAATAGTAATCAAACTAAAATAATGAATAAAAACAACTCTACAAACAAATTCACTCAATTAACAATTTAAAATAATTACAAATTTATTCTCCCATATCTTGTGTAACTCATTTGGTTGATTAAACTCCATACTTCTAAAAGCTAATTTTGGGTTTGACTCATCAGTAATTGTCTCTGTATGATGCTCAGAAATATTTGCTATTTCAAGTTGTAAGGTTTTTATTCTTAGTTTTTCTGCCTTTTTTCTCTGGTAATAGCTCATTTTATCTGATACTTTGCCATCTTTACGAGGTCGACCTACAGCACGCTTAGGCACATTTAGCTTTAAATGTTTGCGTGGTCTTCCAATTGGACGTTTTCCAAAATGAATAAATTCATTACCTCCAGTAAAGGAGACATCTATATTTTTATCATGACTATTTTTTTCTAAATTTTGTTCATTAAGATCAACAGGTGGAGATGTAGCAGATGACTCATTTTTCAAAGTGATATTTGTGTCACCTAATGGAGCAGTGAAAGAATCTTTTTTACTAAAACCTTGTTCTGTAGTTTCTGAAAAACTGAAGTTTTTATTGTCTTCAACTTCCTTGTAGTCTTCAACTACAGTTGCATAAATCGAAGATTTTGAAGAAGAAATAGAAGAGGTTGGTGACACAAGGCCTTCTTTACAAGATTCAACACTAGTGTCAAGTGCAAATGATTCAAGCTTTTTATCATTAAGCATCTTTTCATTGTAGCTATCAACACTTGCTTTTTGTGCAGTTATCAAATTTTGATCGTAAAAGTCAAAAGACAAACCATATTTTATTTTCCTAATTCGTTTTGGTTTTGCGTACAACTTTTCACTACTAACTTCAATGCTGATCTCATTTTGTAAGTGAGTGATAGAAGAATTAAGTTTATTGTCTTTATTTGAAACTTGAAAACCTTCATTATCAGATACTTCTACATCAGAGTAAGCACCTAAACTCGATTGGTAACCATCATTTAAAACTTTAGATCGCAGACGCTCAGGTGTCAATACAACTGGGGCTATAAAAACACTAATGAATTTTATGTTGACGAAGATTCTCTTATTATTATAATAAAAAAAATATGACATACATACTTTCCTTGAGAATACTTTTCCACTTGGAAACAAATTCACTTCCACAAGCACATTTTTTTTTAGCAACAGCATTCTAAAATAAACATTATATTAAAATTATTAAAGTTATATTTGTTTAAGTACAGTAGAAATATAATATAATTGTTATTTTAAAACAAAAACATCCTTCTAAGAAACATGAGGCAGAAATGAGGCAGCAATTAAAAAAAGAAATATGGCCAGACTCAAATAATTTTGTACTGTTCTTAATATGCACAAAGAATAATAAATAGTTACATAATTTTTTTTTTTTTTTTTTTTTTTTTAAATTGGAAATATAAACACTGCATGTTCTCTGTAGAAATGTTTTAAATAACCTAAATAACTATAAACTGCATTTTTCTCAGCCTAACCAAATCTTTAAGTGCTTTTAATAATAAACACTTAGGAAATATTTGAACCTCAAATTCACCAGATTTCAAATGCAAATTCTGACAAAAAAAATCTGGAAAAAAATGTATACGATTATAATATATTGTTAAAATAAGTATATTATAATGTATAATATATAATATTTATGGGTGAATAAAAAAAATTAATTAAAATATTTTTTAATGATAAAATGCTGTAAGATGTAATTTTACTGGAATTTATTGTTACTATTTGGAACCAAAATGGCAAAAATAAATTCTGAAAAATTTTCTACAGCAAAAATATCTTCTATTAAGGTAGCTTTGTTCAAAATGTGAAACTTCTAGTGAAGGGTTTGTTCTTTTTGATTGGTTTGCCTATTTCTGCATTGCATACACTAATAAAAAATGTAGAAGATAGTATTAGTATGCAATTGATTATTTGATTTGTTGCAATTTAACTACATTATAACTGGAATTTAACTAAAATATTTCTGAAACGTAAACAATTTAGCAATTGTTTTCTCTAAATAAGAACTTTTAATAACACTAGTCAACAAAAAAACACTTTTTGGATGTAAATGAAAACTTTTGTCTAGTTATTGCCTGAACCTGGCTTGTTCTCAGTTTTTCCTCGTTGTCTTTAAAGTGATTTAAATCATGTTACAATCTCACTAGAACTTTTACAATTTTCTTTAACTTAAATGATAATACCATTGTATTTTTTACTACTATCTTTCTATCTTTACATTCTATAGCACATTAAATGGAAATGGTGAGGCAAGGGGTATTAATTTTGATATACCGAAGGCTTCAATAAGATCTGGCATGTTTTTTTTCTCCATTAACTTACACATACGGTGTATCTAGATTTGCCTTATCATGCTCACATCATCATCATATTTATCCGATCGCCGTACTTTTTATTACTATCTTAAGTGTGATTTCTTGTGGTTGGAATTCTTTTCTTCATTTTCTTCATAATGGTTCTTGGGCTAATATCTTTAATCTCTCTGCCGAAAATTGGAGTTTCTTCATAATCTCGAAAGACATTTTATTGCAATTAGTCAGTTGCTTTTTCAAATTATAATTATTTCTTTCATTTTTTTTTCGCAAGAACAAAACTTTAAAGAACAAACATTTTGAAAAAAAAAATTCTGTTATGGTCAAATATTCTCAGTATTAATATCTCAGTAAAAAGTATTGTCTGTTAAGGTCAAATATTCCAAATCTTATATCTCACATCAGAAGTTACACTCTAGGTACTTTTTGAAAATCTTCATCAGTGTTATTAGCCCTATCAAATGACGGTTACCCATCATTTGATAATGCTACCCAGCAGTCAGGGCTGTCCTGGAAAGGAAGGGAGGGGGATAGGGGATATCTAGCCCCTTGACTAAATTTACTAGTCAGCATATTGGACACTGGAATTGGCAAAACTGGATCTATAATTGGCAATCATCAAATGTCAGCTTTTTTTTTAATTTTAGATTCTAGTCCGCAAAAAAATTTTTTGGCCTTAGTCGGCAAAAAACAGATATGTCACCCACCCCCCTAAATTCTCTTCAGAACGGCCCTGCCAACAGTAACTAACATGTGGGTCCATGAGTGCCTGGGTACCCCAACAGCTTTACTTGTGTGTTTTATGATTTTTTAATAGTGCTTACTTAAATAAGTTCCTCACAAAATTACTTAAATAACTGACAAAATAATTACAAACACCTGAAAAATTATTTAAATAACTGACTAAAAAATTATTTACTGAATGAAAAATTACAAAAAAAATTTCAAATTGAAAAACATTGGAATATATATATATATATATATATATATATATATATATATATATATATATATATATATATATATATATATATATATATATATATATATATATATATATATATATATATATATATATATATTAAAAAAGCAGAAAAACTCTCAAAATATGTTTAAGATTATCAGAAAACCTTTTAAAAATATGAAAACTTGATCAGATAAAGTAACTCTCAACTTTTATAGTAAAATATTGAGCATAGTTTGTAAACGATATACAAAACGAAATAATCACTGCATAAAATTTTAAACAAATGTTTAACTAAACCTTGTCAAACATTTGTTTTTATTCCATCAAATATGTATCATAATTTATTCAGTGGGTTAATAAAAATTTTAAATTCAAAAAGAAGAAGAATTTTTTTTTTCTCTGCAGCAAGTATATAATCTAATATAAAATATATAATATATTATATATATTAAAACTTCATTTAAAAACAAAAAAAGACAATTTAGTTTTAATTCAATTCATCAAGTGAAAAAAAGAAAAATAATTTCTTACCAGTCTACCACAGGCTAGACACTTTTTAGCAGATTTTAATTTATCAACTTTGTCCTCTGAAACTGCAACCTAAGCAATTTTACTTAAATTTTATATCTTCTTTTTAATATTGGTTGGTTTTTAGTTTATAAATTAATAATAATTTGTTTCTAATATAATTTTATAATAATTAATTTTTTTTTATATATTATATTATATTGTAATATAATACAACAATAATTATACAAACTTAAATAAATTTTTTTTTTTTTTTTTTTTAATTATCTTCGCTTCCAACAAGGTTGCAAGCAACCACTAATTAGTGTTGGAAGTTACTGGAAGAGAAAAGATGAAGATTGTAAAGCAAGATAACGATTGACAGACGACTTAAAATATTGCAAATTATATGAATCAGGAAAGCAAGATGAAGGAAGCGAATTCCAAAGAACTGATGTTCGAGGAAAAAAACTAGACGAATAAGAGTTTTTGGAGCACTTAGGAACAGTAACAGAAAAAGGATGAGAATTAATTGAATGACGAGTAACACGAGAATGAATTTTAGTAGATGACACAAAAGACCCTAGCTCTTGAGAGCAGTGCCCATTATAGTATTTGTAGAAAAGAGAAAGAGAAGCAACATTATGACGATGTGACAGAGGTTGAAGGTTGGCTGCAAGAGCAGGTCCAACTATGTTTACAATGCGTTTTTGCACCTTGTCTAAAAGAGAAAGGGCATCATTAGAAGATCCGCCCCAGATATGGCAACAGTATTCCATACAAGGCCGGATTTGAGATTTATAGAGATAGAGAATAGAATCCAGAGTAAGAAAGTGATGAGCTCGATAAAGAGAAGCAACTTTAGCAGATGTTAATTTTGCAACGGATTTGATATAAGGTTTCCAAGAAAGATCAGAAGTAAGAGTTAATCCTAGAAGATGAAGGGTAGGAGACTCATCGAGTACATTACCGTTCATAAATATAGGAAGGTCTAAATTATTGCGATAACGATTGGCCGAAAAAAATTGAGTTTTATCTGAATTAAAGTTCACCAGCCACTGCGAGCCCCATGCTGTAGCAGAAGTGAGATCCTTTTCGAGCTCAGATGCCTCCTGCAAGCAATCAGAGGGAGTTGGCTTCTTATCGTGATAAGAATAAATGGTAGTATCATCAGCGAACAATGCCACCTTAGATGTGAGAATATCTGGAAGATCGTTAATGTAAATTAAAAAGAGTATAGGGCCAATTTACTACCTTAAGATTTTGACAACAAATGCACATAAAAAATAAATAAAATCAAGTATAAAAATTAAATAAAATCAAGTAAATCAAAATTAAAAGATCTCTTTTAGAGTCTTTTTTAACTTTTAAGCTTTTAGTTCAACTTTAAATAGATAAAACAAGTAATACAATAATGTAAAACAATAAAATTTTGAAAAATATTCTAAACTGCTAGTGGTAAGCAATTCAAAATTTTTTCAAATTCAAATTCAAAAGATTTCATCGAGTTAAAAAAAAAAAAAATAATAATTTTTTTTTTTTTCAAAAACGTATTTTCATATAAATATAAATATTAAAATACTTAAATATTTTTTAAATACTAATAATTTAAATATTATCTTTTGTCAATTTGGTGCTTATAAATAACATAATAAACGGCTGCTTATAAATATCATAAATTGCCACATTAAAATGTGTCAGTATTTTTCTTGAAAAGAAACTTTATATTAACTTTAACTTCATGTGTTATATTAGTTTAATAAGTAATAAATATTTGAAATAAATTATTGCAAATAAAAATAAAATTTTACATGCAAACACAACCCAACTAAACACGCAAAGTACTGTTTCGAAATTCTGTGTTAATTTTATTTTTATGTGAAAACGTAACAGTAAATTTAATAGTAAATTTAAATTAAATATACCTTATATAAAAATAAAACAGTTAAATATCGTAAAACAAAATTCATCCTTGATAATATTTTTGAATAATTTAAGTTTTTTGGTTCATACAAAGAAAAAGTAAAAAAAATTACATTTTAAGTTTTTTTTATTTTTGTAATATTTTTGTACTAATATGTTTAAGAACCTTTTGCATATATTGGAAGACTACATTTAAACCTGCATTGTATACAGGAGTTAATTTAATACAAGAGTAAAATAAGACTTTTTGCAAACCCGGCCCCAGCAAGATTATGAGATTTAGCAGAGGTTGATAGGCGGGGCTAGAAAAAAATTTATAATACTTTTTGTATTATAATTTTATACTTATATTTACAATTTATTATATACTGACATATATTTATATATTTTTTAACTCAAATTTACTTCCAACAAGATTGCAAGCAACCACTATTAAGTTATGAGTTACTTTAAAATAGAGAATAAGTAAAAATGGTTAACTGAAGGCTTTAAAAGTTGTTATAAAAAGAATATATTAAAAAGAAAAACATGATCTTCATGTTTTTCATTTCTTCATGGGGAAGAGGTAAAAAGCTTTTTTAATGAGCAAAGAAAAAAACTAGATTAATAAAAGTTTATATAGCATGAAGGGACAGATACTGTAAAAGGATGCAACTTGTTGCATGCTTTTACAGTATCTATCCCTTCATGCTATATAAACTTCATGCCTTATCATGCCTTATGCCTTCATGCTATTTAAACCGGCTGCTTGTTCTCAGCAATCAAAAAGTGAAGATTTTTTGTTTAGACAAGAGTAAAGTTGAGTCGTCAGCAAATAGAGGCAATTTAGATATAAAACTTTCATGAAGATTGTTATTGTAGATAGAACTAAAGTGGTACCCTTAAAGTTACTTGAAATAAAGAGGAGTGTGAGAGGAGTTTAGGTCTTCAAGAATAACTTGAATACTGCAGTTAGAAAGAAATAATTTAAAGATCTCAAAAACTAATAACAGAGTGAAGACTAATCGTTGGATAGTTGGTGAGGTCAAAGTGTTTTCTAGAGTTTTGAAAAATTGGAACCACTTATATAGCACTTTTTAAGTTTAGCAAAAATTGAAGAGAATTCTGGAGAACACTTTTTTAATACTATGATGGAAATCTTGTCTGGAGAACAAAGTGTAGAAGAGTTTAATTGAGAAAAAACTCTGCCTTATTCTGGGCAGAAGCAAAAAGATGAATTAGAGATTAAATGTTAGACTTTTGTTAATGACACTGTTGAAGACTTACCAAAAGACTCTAGAACCTAACATCTGAGATAAGAAATAAGATTTAGTAAACTGAGAATAATAGAGCTTAACATCAGACAGGACCTTTTTACATTGGCTTCTTGTAATATTAAAAAGACTTTAAAAAAACGATTACTGTTTAATAAAGCAACTACTCAAGATAGTGAAAAATGCAGATTAGAATGAGGCTTGACTTAATATTGAAAAGAAGGTATAGAAGCTTCCAAGCTTTTATTCCAGAAGGAATAAAAGCTTCCAAGATGCATTTTATGCAAACATATTATGGGTATAAACATATTCGTTTGCTATTTGTTTAAATGCTGGCAAACAATATCCTTTCATATTTATATAAACTTAAATATTTATATGGTGTAGCTTTTGTCGAAAGAGAAGATGATCAAATGTGTGGTGTGACTCTAACATGACAAGAAAAGGAGATATAGTCTTAGACAAATTAGAAAAAAACGCCTTATTGGATAAGGTTTGTTTAGGAAGATTAAAGCGATTTAGATATCAGCATGTAGAGAGGTTGCAGCTTCAGGAGAAAATGGAAGAAGTAAGAACGCAATGTAAACTACACAAGTCCTAATCTATTTCATTAATAATAGTGAACAAATTTAATAATAAAAAAGTTTAATAATAAAAGTTGAAGATTCACTTTGCTGATTTTTATTAAAGTTAAACAGCTATCTTAATTTTTTGTAAAATTTATGACTCTGCAAGGGACAACATTTTATTTTTTTGTTACAATTAAATTTATATGTATAAATTATCTAGAAAAAATTTGTAAAAAAATAAAACAATTAGAAAACTCGATTATAAAAGAACACTTTCCAGGGGCAAGGGTAGCATTTTTGTGTGTTTGAAACTTCCTAACATGGAAAAAACTCCATATTTATATGTTTATTATTATTTAGATATTAGCCATTTTTTTATATTCATATTTTTTGATTCATATTCATTGATTCATATCATATTGATTCATATTCATATTCATATTTTTATATTCATATTTCATATATTAATGTCAAATAAATATGCTTTGCAAAAAATTGTAATGATTGGAGTCTGGGAACGGAAATGTCCCAAAATTTACGTTGCTTTTTTTTTTTTTTTTTTTACTATTTTTAACTAAATTAATATTCATTAATAAACTTTAAATTTTATACAATAATTTTTTAGCGTTCAAAAATTATGACCATGTCAAGTTTGAACCTACCTCAAATTGTAAGGAAGGATCATATAGAAAGCAAAATAAGTTAACTGGAATAAAACTATTTTGGAAACTGCTATAGTGTTTCAAAATGCTCATAAAATTTTATTAATATCTACTACTGTATTCAAAACTTATTTGATATTGAACATAACTATTTCTTCTTTATGTTATTATGTTTCTGTTTAAACACCAGAAATTTTATTAGGTCATTTTAAAAGTTTTTTCCCTAATATAAGCATTTGACATAAGCAAATAATTGTGGACAGAAATTTTAATTTTGGTTTACACCTTGAATGACAGCAAAAATGCATCTAACAAAAATGTACATACAGCAAAAATTAAAAAGACTGATTCTGCATCCGAATGGGCTAATTCACATTCCTTTGAACAAACACTTTTTACTTTTTAAAACTGTTGATTTCCTATTCTAATTTAACCCCTGATTGTATATAAATATATTAGAAGACCATATTTTAAACCTGCACACAACCAGTTGCACACTGCACAAAGTTAAAAAATTAATTTTAAGTTGACTTAATTTTGAAACTTTTATTGATGAGCAGATTTCTTATTTTAATTCATTTTACTTTTGTTTCAATAGCTCAACAACATAAGAATAAGGCATTGCAGTCATTAATAAATATCTTGCAGACCAATTGAAATCATTTTGTAATTATTCTAGAAAAACAGTGAACTCCCTTACACAAGTGTTTTTTAAAAGTATTATTTTTGACTTATTTAGAGTCTGATATCTAGCTTATCGAAGTACATTATTAAACCAAAAATGTTTAAGAGAATTGTAAAAAACTTAACAAATATGCTACTAATATTTGAGAAAACTGTTCTATGGTTGTACACTTTTCACTAAAATGAAAAAAAAAAATTGAAATAAGAACTTTAAACAGTGAAATAAAATTATAAAAACTATTTAAAAAAAGGTAGTGGGAGACATTATCTAACATAACTCATAGTTATTTAAATGGTTCATACCTTAACAACACATAATAGCATTTAAAATGTTCAAAAAAGTAAAAACATCTTTTATTCTTAAAACCTTTCTTTCTATGATAAAAAGTGTTGGTGTAACTATGCTAGCAATGCACTTGCTTTCCACTAATGCTTGTAATGCACTTGCTTTTTGCTAATGCTAGCAACCCACTTGCTCTCTACTAATGCTAACAATGCACTTGCCTTGTGTCTCATGTAATGATTTATTATCTACAATGTAAAAACTTTTCTAACTTTCTTTTTTTTTAAGTAAAAAAAAAAATTAAGAAAGATCTACTTTAGAGTGAAGCCAGCTTCAATGTCCCTTCTGCAGTCCCCAGGTTGCTTTAATGGAAAGAAAGAATGCTTACAACAATAAAAAAAGAAAAGAATGTTACTAGCTTTTTTTTAAACTAGTTTTTAGCAATCCAGTTGTGAAGTATGTACTAATAGTAAAAGGTAAGTAATTATATTATCTTCTGGCTATAAATTTATGTCAATTGAAAATATATTAAAAACTATCATTAAAAAATAAAAAATTCTTATTTATAAACACTTGAATTAAAAATTTATAGTTTTGATTAATACTAAAAAACTAATATAGTATGGTGCAAAAACTCTCTCAAAAAACTACTTAAAGCTCAATAACTTACTGTACAAGATGCCATACTTTAAATCACATGCAGCTAACTGCATCTAAATGTAAATTGTTTTTAAGACACTTTTTGTAACATATGTTAAAGTAAATTTTATTATTGTTATTAACTACAACTTAATTATTTATAAAATAAATCTATTAATTAAAACATGATATAAAAATTCCACATCAAACAAAAAAATCCTATAACAAACTTTTAATTTTAATTTTAAGAAGTTCAAGAAAAATAAAGATATTAAGTTTTTAATTATTTTAATTGCCAAGAAAATGGAGGTGTAATGAGGGGTGTTAAAGATTAACCAAAATTCACTAAACAATAATAAACAAAAGTTGATGATTAATAATTGATCCCCAGTTCATTTTGATACCAATTTAAAGACTAGATTTGTTTGAAATTTAAAAAAGTTCAAAATCAACATGTTAAGTGATCATGAACATGGTCAGTTCCTTAACCAAATACTTATTATTTAAGTTTAATCAAAATGAATTTTAGGATTATTACTAACTATTTTAGTTAATGTTTATACAGTTCAATCAGTTGATTTTTTATATGAAACAAACCAAAATGAGTTAGAGAATTTCACAACATTTTGCATACCATTAAAATAAAAATAAAAAAACAAGCTTAAAAAAAGGAAAGAAGCAGAGTTATTATAAAAGTAGATAATGAAAAAAAGATACAAAAAATTAAAACAAAACTGATTTTAAAAAACATTCTTGATCATTTGGTACAAAACTATTGCCTATTGAAACTAAATCTACGAAGATAGTTCTATTATATATGCTGAAAATGCCAGGACTTAAAACATCATTTGTCCAGCTAAGATGGTAAACCTTAAATTTGTTAAAAAAAAATGTAAGAACAATTTTATAGTTAAATAAAGAATTGTAAAACTATTTATACAATTTTTAATAATTAAAACTAATTATATAACTGTTTGTATATAATTATAAATGCTTGTTTAAAATAAAACATGAAAAACAAAAGAATAAAAAAATTAATAACTTTATTAACCCCATTAAATATAACTCTCCTCTGTTGGAATTAAAACTCTTAATCAACCACTGTGCTTCACTCTATTGCAAAAATATAAACAGGTTTATAACTTATACATTTACAGTAGAGCATAAAGCTTAAAAGAACCTCTTTTTGCCATTAAGCTCTTGATTAAAATGCTTCATGTCAAAATTAATTCAGATTCTTATGTTGTGTCAATTGAATAAAATCTTTTTTTTTTTAATGTTTATAGTTTATTTATAGAAAAAAAGATTTTTGAATATTGAAGTGTAGAGAAGTGTAGAAAAGTTACAAGTGGTAGTATCTAAAAAGA